ACAAACTTAGCGTGTGAGTTCTAACAATTAATAAGAAATTACTCATGTGTGGATCCTGCCAGTTGAAGTAGAGGATATGTTTCCCTTATGCCAATGTCTGTCCTGTTCCTACTCTGATGTGGAAAGTGCAGTACAGTACAGTACAGTACAGTAAAGCTTTCCAAGTTTGCAGCTTTATTAGTTCTGGATCTTAAAGGCAAATAACTTAGTTTTCTGTTATTACTACTTCTCTTGCACAGATTTAACATTTGAGTATTCAAATTTGTCAAAGCAGACGTAAATGCAGAAATGTCTGGGAGAAAATGATAACCTTAGGAGTCATTCAGAACTCTAAAAATTACCTAATACATGAGATTATTTTAAGTATCCATTACTTTTTGATTTATTTACTATATACTTGAATTTTACATGGATATTTGTGCATTCTTGTGTATTCCAGCATTCTTTTCACTGTTAAGGATAAAACTTAATGATGACAGAAGATAAAACAGCCTGTGCAGAATTTTTGCCTCTGGTAAGTGCAAAGCAAACATCTTCACTCTACTAGATCTCTTTGTTTTTCATTACTACAGAAAAATTAAAATTATTTTGCTTTGCCTCAGGCCTTCAATTGCTCTGCTGGGTTATTAAACATACAGTGGAGAGCCAGTAATGAGTGGTATTGTTTATGTACCTTGTCTGTTTGTTCTTTACAAATAGAAGATGCATTACAATGTTTAAGGGACTTGGGATTTACGGACTTGTCTTTCTAAGGATCTCTTATTCTCATAATTGTTTTCAAGAGTATTTTCTGCTTTTTTCATCTCTTTTAATCACTGAATCATCTTTTTATATACTAATCAGTAGTAATTGACAATGCTATCCAGTAAACTGGCTTCTTTGAAATTGTTAGGAGCATTGAGGGTGTTTACTGAAGTGAGGGAACCTAACATATTGGTTAAGTACAATTGTGTGCTTTGTTACCTTGAGAGTAAGTCGAGTGTGTTGAAGGGTGAGTTAAACATTGTATTGGAAATGTCCAGTGGTTAATATTTTATTGTCTCCCATTTTGCATTTAAAACAAAGAATTCTTTAATTTTCAACTCCTCTCCTGTCTGCAAACAGTTTTTTTTAAATTTTCGTATAACTTGATGTGCTTTGCCAGTGGAACTGAAAGGAAGCTTAAGCTCTGGACTCCCGTGTTATTCACAGGCGAATGTAGTAGTTATTAAAGACAAGTGTTATGAACAAACTGAGTGTGATAACCAGGGGCAAACTAAACTTTCTCATATAAAAAACACATACCCTTTTAATTCTGATATTACTTCCTCATAAAATGCTAAACCTTGAGGATTAGAACATTGATGTACTCTGCTCCAGTTTAGCCATATTCATTTGAGGTTAAGGAGATAAAACCTTGTGAGCTTTGAGTTTTCCTTGTAGTGTCTTACTTTTCAGGTGAAAAATAAGCTACAGTATAAACTCAGAAATTAACATAATGCTTAAACTTTGAAATGCTATAGTTTAATGAAACTTTGAAATGCTGTAGTTTAATGATAAGTACTTCTACAATGTAATTCTTGCTCCTAAATACATCTGGAAAGAAGACAGAAGCAACTTTTACGTAGGTGATACTGTACTTTGAGGCTAACCATAAGATGTAAATAACATGGTTATATTTCTATATATAAATTAATAAAATAATGAAATAAGATTTAAAAAAGAAAAAGAAATCTGTGTTTGGGAGAAGTAGTTGTTCAGAGAAGATGGTATGATGTGCATCCTTTAAGTACACTGGCAGCATTGATAGCTCTTACTCTTCAGGAGGCATGATTCAGATTCCAAAGCTGCAAATTATTTTGAATTTTGAGGTATGTAGGTCTTAGGTACCTATTATTTGGTTTATTATAATACTTTATTTTTTTCTTGAACAGAATGTGACATAGATTTTATGGGTTTCCCCAGTATAGAAGCTATTACCATAAATTACATGATGGTAATGGAAGGACATACAAAGAAATCAAGTTCTTGCTTTGTTTCTCCCTGAGCCTGGCTCCGTAAGAATGAACTTATAAAAACTAAGCTGTTTTATCTGGTATATGGTAGATTATCTTCAATAGCTAGATAAGAGGGAACAAGTTGACAATTCACAAATGACTGTTGTTCGTGTTGATCTATGAAACAGATGGAAAACAGATTTCTGTTAAGCTGATTCTGTAAATGGAGTGTAGCAAAGGAATTTGAATGTGAAAATATACTTGCAGTTCCATGGTGACACAGAAGCACAAATTAGACCATACTGACGTGATTTTTGTATTTATAGGGGGGATTTACCCTATACAGAGATGGTTACTGGAAACCACAGGAACAGAATTCTTAAAGATAGTAGCTTTTATATTGTTAGATTGAGATAGGTGCTATAAATACTCATTTTCAAAGTATGAAGCAACTCAAAGAAAGGTTTTTGATTTTAAAATCCTTTCTCCCATTATGATTAATATTCAGTTGTAACAGTGTGATCTCAAATAACATAAAATCAGCTTATCTTTCACGCTGACAGGGATCAGGAATCTTGTTTTGGTAAACAGTCTACAGACCCTCCAAGCAATCACAGGGCTCACACACAAACTTTGAAATAAGGATATATATAATATATATAAAATAATGCAAAAGTAAGTGGATTTGACTGAGTTTTACTGTGAACAGACATATAGAGACTGACCACACAGGAAGATCAAGCTGTAGATATGTTTTGGTATATCCATATTAATTAAGTTGTTCCCTTTCAAGCAGTAATTTACTCTTAGCTTCTCAGGTATAGCTGCTAAGATGTTTTTTATTACTTTTGCTGTTGATAGCCTTTTAGATAAAGGATGCTACTTAAATAGTCTGGAAACTTAAATGTTGTTATTATCATCGATAAGAAGCTTTTTAAGGACTAAATTCATTTGAAAATCAAGCAAAACTTTTTTCCTCATTTAGCAGGAGATTTGCTGCTAACACAGAGAATTCTCTGCGTACCAAGTAAAAAACAAATGTTACACACAGAAGACGTGACTGGTTATGGCAGCTCACCTATATGCTCTAGGGTAGCCAAAAAGCAGCTGAGTTCCCACCATGTAATCAAAATTTTACAACTGAGACTGAAATATTATTCAGGCTATTTGGGAACTTCTTCACTAGAGCTTTTCCCCTTTTCTCCACAGACTTGGGCTTTGCAGGCTTGCTGTTTGTTTTATTATTACAGGTTTACTGTTCAAAGACAACATAACTAAGGAAAGAATAGAGATCACATTATTTTATCACATGGACACATATACCTTAAAAAGAAAACTTAATCATGCAAACCTAGCACTTACAAGAGCTATATGGACAAAAATGACCTGTGTTAAACTACGTATTACTTGTTGAAAGAATCTGGAACTGACAGACTGTCACAAATAACATTCTGTATCATATAGGTCATGGTGAGATATTTATTAGTGAAATCAATGAGAAGTAAATGTCAAGAAATATTTTAATTAAATATTCAAAAATTTTCAAGTCAAAATTAACTAGATTTTTTTAACGCTTATCTTCTGCATGAAGTGCATCTAAAAATAACGCCCATTTTCGTTCTTTCAAATTGAAATACATTCTGGGACCAGCACAAAAACCAACACCAGGATACAGGCTTAGAGGTCTGATCTATGAGCTTCTGATTGAGCTCTTTCTAGACGTCAGTCAGGGTTAATTTTTAATTTGGGAAGTGTTGAATATACTAAATTCTTCTCTTCCCTACCCACCCTTAAACTTCTTACATTCTAAGCATTTGTAAAAAAAAAAATAATTAAATTTTGTCATTCTAATGTAAATCTGTGATTACAGCTGTTGTTCATCTTTAAAATAAAAGATTTTTCAGTTGCAAGGGTCGTATATATATATTTTTTTTTTGTACTACAGTCAGCACAACAAACATTATGGTTTTACATATGTTTGTAAATGAAGGATATGCCCAGTGCAAGCTGGTAGGTCATGTTTAGTGAAAGGTTTCCTGTAAACAAAATACCAGAATAAACCCAAACAAACAAGGGAATAAAATGTAGGCTAATGTGGAAGTCATATTAAGTATTTTTGGCAAATTGCGATGTCTGCAGCAGCCACTGCATGTTTTTCAGAGCTGCTAATAGGGACACTGAGACAAGCCTGCTGTACAGGTGCTAGATTTTGATTTAATAAACAGTCTGTACAGTATCAAACTATATAAAAAGTTTAAAAACCACAATGAGAATTATTATAGTTTAAAAATTTTTCTATACTGTAAAAATTTTAAAATTAGGTCCAAACCACCATTAAAAAAGCTATGAAATGTGCAATTTTGCAAGGGGAAACAAGGGGCACAAGAAGGGTTCCATAAGGATTAATGAGTTGCTTTGTGATTTCTCTTTGTTTCCAGTATCATCATATACCTGGTAATCACACAGACCTTAGAGCAGTTCTCTTCAGGCAAGTAGGACATGAGCTAAAAGTATCATCACTGATTTCAGGGAAGACTGGCTGCAATAAGGAGTGAAAAGCTATTTTAAGAGATGAATGTACAGTACAGTCTATTTATGTAAATACTTGGAAAACGCAGGAACAAAATAGTTTTCTAACTATAGAGCTGTGAAATCAGTGAGCCACATGAATCTATAATATATGGCAGAATATTTTACAATCCTAAACCTTCTTGAAAGAAAACTGTTGTAAGTCTGTACCTAGAATAACATGAGTACTTGCGTTTTAACCAAAAGCTGCAAAGATTATATAACTCCAAATGTACTAAAATTAATATAACTCAATATGTTTAAAAGGCAGTAATCCTTTACGCTTATTTCTCACAAAGCATAGACTGAGGAACTGATAATTAAAGGCAATATAAATGGTAGGCAAGATGAAACAGATGGCTGTAACGTAATTCTTGAGTCTTAACTGGCACTTAACACTAACTCTACTTTCAATTTGACAAATACAATAAGACACCTATGTTGACATACACATGGTGCACTTAACTACTTTTATTTATGTAACTGAGGTATTAAAATTGTCTTGAAAAGCAGACGTCTAAAGAAGAGAAAATGATATGAGGAAGAGAACAGTAGTCATTGTTTTCAGTGTTCAATGATTAGTAGTTGTTGGTTGTTTTTTTTTTTCTTCCAATATCCTTAACTTCAAATTTCCATGCAAAGTCTCTGTCTTGCTCCTCCACTAGATAGGTAGCTTGGGAAGATGGGAGGAAATCCACCATTTTTCAGCAAGAATTAGTATGAAGACTTTGTTGGATTTTTTTTTTAAATGAAGTATAGTAAGCTAAAAGTGTGTGCATCTCACACGCTGCATATAGTGGACTTTTAATATATACACTGTCATTGTGCACAAGCATCTTGTATATACACTGACACCACCTTCACTAGGAAATCAAAAGTCAATAGATAATGAACCTTGTGCTGTATCTTCTCTCCCTCTAACATAGATTTCACATGGAATCTCCTCCATCACCCTGTCTTCTATGACTTGCTCAGGGCAGTCATGCGCTTGTTTGAAAGTGTAACTACTTTTCTTGAATGTGCTATTAAATGTTTTCATTGGCTGAGGCTGCGCGAAATCATTGCGAAAGGGAAGTTCCATGGAGCTGAGGTTTGTCCTGCTTTGTTTTATATTAGAGGCCTGGGAGCCACAGTGGTGGTCATGAATGCATCTGGAAGCTGTTGAAGGGCGTCTCATTTTCTGATAGTTTTCAAGTTCTTCTGATAAATCTGCCAAATCTGCCGCAATTTCTTTGTCCCGTAGAGAAAATAGTTCATAATGTGGAGGATCGAATACTTCCTGGAAACCAGTTTTATTGAAAGCAGTCTTGCAAGCCATAACCTTTTTGCGAGGTTGCTTTACTTGTACTAGAATTGAAATGATGAGAAGAACTAAAACTATCCCTGATGTGATGCCAATGATTGTCCCATGAGTTTTGGTGATTTGTTCGAACAATCCACTTCTCTTCTTTTCTGCAAAGAAAAAACATGGATTATAAGGCTTGTATTATTTTCCACACTTTTGATCATGTATTAAACCAAAGCAAGCTGTATTGTGATTGCCTTATAAGTGCTGTATTAATGAAATGACTTAATGGCACTGGAGACTAGACCTGTATGTCAATGGGATTTATCATTCTGGATCTGTGCATTTGTTCAGCAAGTCTAATTCCCTGTCTGCATTAGTAGCTACCACATGATAACTCAGTGGCAGGTGGAACTCTGTAGCCAGTGCACGCTGACTCAGCTGGGATGTGGCTTCAATCCTGAACCTACACTGATCAGTTCATATTCCAAAATCCATGAGTTAATAGTTTACACAGCTACAGATGGTGCTTCTGTTAATACGGTTTGCTCCTGCTGGTAACATTCCAATTAATGTCAGTAGAAAGACATCTAGATTTAAAATTACCTAGTTCTTCTTTAAAAGTGAAATATCATAGTGATGATGTAAGATTGACTGTACTATTTGTTTCCATATCTCTTGGAAATTTAACGACTGTGTCTATTGTGCAAGTCTGTTACACCTATTTCAACACAGGGAGCTTTAGCATGGATATATTCCAGTTTTAACAGTCATCAAGTCAGTTTGAAAAAAAAAAAAAAAAGGGGGAGAGGGGCGGGATGGAATCAACCAACTCAAATCATGTGGTACTTTTGACTAGTACTTCATATGAAAACACACAAGATGGCAGCATCAGAGCAAGATGGTTTTCCGTATTTAAAATTCTTATTTGAAGATTAAAATTTTCCAGTTGGCTTTCTGTTCTGTAAACGTACTTGTTCTAAAGGAAGCCTACACTGAGACTCTGCAACATTCACTAGTGGGGGAGAAAAGCATTTAAGACTATATAAAAGAAAATGTAGTAGCCTGAATGTTGCATATTATTTTCAGATATTCGGCTCGTGGCATCTGGATACGTGTGTTATGCACCCATCCACACGCAGTGTGTGGAGAGAGGAATATACCATCACATGCTATTTGAAACAATCCATACACCAAGCGGAGAGTCCCAAGGAATTGGCTAATAAGAAGTTATGTCTGAAATACTTCAGAGCTTAGACTGTTATACTCCGAGTTACATTTATACCTTTAACGTGAAGGTGGATTATCTCCCCTTGTCCTGCCTAGCTCAGATCTTAGTGTTACCATACTTTGTGGGATGTATGAATTTCAGTGCTATGGCAGTTCTCTCATCCACATCTAGGTTTCTTAATTCTTGGAAGATATTTTAATCAAAAAGTTGTTATACAAACGGTGATGTCTTCTCCAGTCTCTTAAAAGAAATTGCACACAATTGACTTCTATCAATTTTTGTGTCAGTAGTTTAGGCATAAGGTAGGTAATGATATGCTCAGATTTAGGTAACTATCAGTATGGACTAAATGAGAACTCTGGGTGCCGGCAGGAATTGAGGTGAGAAGTGAGCAGCTTTCTTTTAAGGCTAGATATTGCTTATTTGGTTGCATCAGTCTCTCTCCAATCTACCTTAGCTGGCAATTCAGATCCAGTTTTCAGCTGTCTCGTAATTATCTGCTGTGCAAATATTAAAGCAGAATTTAGGTTGCATTCAACATAAAACATGGTGGGTTATTCAGCACCACAAACAGCAATTTATAAATACTGAGAAACACCCTTTCTTCACCTTGTGATACTGGTTTTATGGAATTCATTTTTTAAATACTGCAGTATGTGAGTGAAGCGTGGATTTTAGGCAAGGTTCTAGAAAACAGTTGGTAAAGACTGGAAAGAGATCCAGCGACTGCACTTAAGAGGGAATGTTGAATATTATCACAGCTAAGGATTGTTTAGAGGAAGCTTACTTTTACATTGAAAACTTGGGAGTTACGGATCTGTCTTGTTAACTGGAAAGCTTCCATAATACACCTTGCACTAGAGTACTTATTAGTGGTGTGAATTTTTTTGTTTCCCAAAATACAATTTCAAAGTAGGTTTTTAAATATTTATTTACTAAAAAAATTAAGCTGGATTTGTGTGTTGAAAAGCTGTTTTATTTCAATATTTTCTTTAGAGAAGGTTTTGACCCTTCCTGCAGGGCCAATTTCTCTTTGAACTTGAGTACCTATTTATTACTTATTTAAATCTTTCTGGAGTTTTTTGTTCAGACCTATTGATGCCATTCTATTTGTCAAAAAAATTCAAGCTTAAGTTTGCTGGTTTATTGTTTTGTTTTAGCAAGAAAAATTGTTGACCTTAAATTGGTTTTGTTCCAACTCTGAAAAGTCATTTATTGTTGAAGCACAAATGAATATATTGGTGCTTTAGCAGAATAACAATTTCCTCAAATCATGAGAATTTTTCCTACAAAAACCTGATCTTGAAACAAATCTTTACTGTATTTGTAGTGGTTTAAACAATACTCCCCTGCCCCATGTTCTAAAGCACTGATTTACACGTGTCTGTTTTCCATAAGTGATGACTTCTTGCTTCCTAACGATTCCTCCTTCCTCTCACCCTTTCTCACACCATGTGCAGCAGTTGCATTTACTCTGAGATAGCCTGTTATTAACAACTTAAAACAAATGTTTTAAAATTGTATTTATCTTTGAAGATTTTCGCTTCTATTTCAGCCCTGAGAAAGGCTTTTTGTGCTTCAAGGTTTGTCTGTCTCTTTCCAGCTCTATATTTTTTTCTCTGATAAAAGGTATTAGCTGTCCCTACGATCCTTGCTTTGTTTGAAGTTTAGAAACGGATAGGATGCAACCTGGCAAATACTATATTCTATTTCCTATTAAGCTGACATCCTTTTAAAATAGAAAGTATATGCTGAAGAGGAAGAAATTTAATTACAAAGCAGTAAGATCAATATTCAGGACACTTACATATCTCCTGAGTTTAAATAAAAAATTTGAAACACCTTCCTGAGATTAGTAGAATGGCTGTCTTCAGCATATTTCCAGAAAAAAGACATTTCATGACTTCCTTGAAAGGCAAACTGACCAGCCTAGCTCATAAAGCCTATGCTTTGCACCATATTCACCTCTGCAGTGATTTTCATCCCAAGGGTATGCACAGTTTTGAATGCCATTGCAGACTAAAGAATTATTGATGCACATGTTGCTATGGCAGAAGTAAGTGTTGCCTGAGCAGGGAGCTGCAGGAGAGAAGAGAAAGAAAACATTAGGAATTTTCACTAATTGATGCATTGCAATAAAACTCGTATATTCCTGTTATTTTTTTTAACATGGATATTCATTCTTTATCTCTGTTTCAGACACAATCACTTTTCCTGCACATCACTAATTATCAGATGATTTACTCTCTTTTCATGTGGTTGCTTTCAGGTGTATTAGCAACGCTACAAAAAAAAAAATTCTTGCTCAAAATGGTTAGCAGATAGACAAGCACATAACACAGATAATGGAAGAAGGTTTAATACTTGTCTTAAACTTAATACTTAAAAATCACATGCTCACCATCAATTATATATTTATTCAATCTGCTGTGCATCTGCTATGTAGATATATAGCTGGTTGTGAAGCAGCTCCTGAACATCTGCATTTCAGAGCCCATTAATATCTTAAGGCAAATCAGATTTCAGCTTGTGGAGGACTGCTTCAGTAATTGCAAGAGATTTCAGTAACTGGAGGCCTCTGCTTGTGAATCAAAGCTCTTAGAGCCTCCTATTAGAGCTAATGCAGGGATTAAGACAGAGTACAGTTTAGCTTTTTATCTATCTGTCTATATATAGTTAGAAATTTGACAAAATAAATTAACTAGAAAGTTGCCCTAAACATTTTATGTTTCCATGAATGTTTGTTATAGCTCCTTGACATTAGAAAAATATATTAAAAGAATAGTAATAATTCTTTTCAGGATGTTATATAACATACATATGGAATTCTTTACAAATTCAGGGCACTGGACAAGAAATTGATATTTCCCTTTATCTCAGTAATGTATTTTTATGATAGATATGTCTATTATTAGTGGAGCCAGTTATATATTAAACATCAAAGGTGTATGATAGACATTCTGCTATTTGGTTTCATCGAAAGAATCTATTATTGAGCAGTCTGGATTCTGTGAAACAATGTGAAACCCAAAGGGTAGAGCAGAGGAGGGTGACTAGTCCTGAATACAGCATGTTTCTCGCTTATTCCTTCTGTTGGGCTTCAGAGTCTCAGTGACAAAAAGCAGGAGTCATGCCTAAGAGAAAAGAAAATTCAAACCTTTAATTCTGAATTTGAATTTCCTAAAGCTAATACACATTTGTCTTCCCATTTCTTATGCCACTGAATTTTGGTAACCTATGCTCATTGGTTTTAAGCTTTTGTATTAGCTTCCTGTTATTGCTTAACTCCTGTCAACCTGGCAAGAAGTTCCATTTAGGAAGCTTGTGCTTTAAGAGTAGTGCAAGTGCTGTAGTACTTCAACATAATACGGAATGTATTCAGAGTGTATGTGGAAGAGTTTAACTATGTAACTTCAGTGTTACATAAAAATGTCACAGCAAGGATCACATCAATGTTCCTCGCTCAGCTGAGTTGAGAACTTAATTGTTTGGAAAGCAGATCTAGTCTGAAGAACACTGCTTTAAAATATGATCAATGCCTAGGAAGGTATAGATCACACCCATTGTGTATGGTGAGGGACATGAAAGGCAACAAGAAGGGCTTCTTCAAGTTTGTCAGCAACAAAAGGAAGGCCAAGGACAATATGGGTCTGCTACTGAATGGGATAGAGTGGAGCTTCTCTCATTGCCTGGGAAGGTGATAGAAACAAATCATCCTGGAAGCCATTTCCGAACGTATTAGAGATAAGAAGGTCATTGGGAGTAGTCAGCATGGATTTATGATGAGGAAATCATGCTTGACCAACATGATTGCCTTCTACGAGTAAATTACTAGCTTAGATGAGGAGAGAGTTGCGGATGTTGTACATCTTGACTTTAGCAAGGCTTTCAAAACTGGATCCCATAATATCCTTGTAGAAAAACTGATGCAGTACAGACTACATAGGAGGACAGTGAAGTGGACTGAAAACTGACTGAACTGCCAGGCTTAAGGGGTTGTGATCAAGCCACAAAGTCGAGCCAGAGGCTGTCACTATTGGTGTACTCCAGGGACCAACAGTAAGGCCAACACTGTTTAACTTCTTCATTAATGACCTGGATTTTGGGACAGACTGCACCCTCGGTGAGTTTGTAGATGATACAAAACTAGGAGGAGCGGCTGACAGAGCAGGCAGTTGTGCTGCCATTTGAGACAGGCTGGAGAAAAGGGTCGACAGGAACCCCAAAGCTCAACAAAGGGAAACAAAGCCCTGCAGCTGCAGAGGAATAACTCCACACGTGTACAGGCTGAGGGCCAGCCAGCTGGAAAGCAGCTCTGTAGACTAATGCTTGGAAGTCCTGGTGGAGAAAGAGTGGAGTGTGAGGCAGCAGTGCACCCTTGTAGCAAAAAAAGCCAACAGCATCCTCAGCTGCATTAGGATCATGCTGTAAGCATCATCCAAAATTATGCTGCAACTAAATTCTGAAGGGATTCACACCTTCTCCCTGAAGGACTAAATGATGACAGGCTAAAACTTACCAAGAGCATCAATCTAAATATGAAAACAGGTATTCTAGACAACCCACAGCAATTCATAGAAACAGGAAGATGTAGTGAACATATCTAACCATTATATATATCTATATGTAAAATGGGAGAAAGGCTAATACTTAAAATGAAAAAATGTTCATGATGCAGACTACAAAATAAAAAGCTCTTGGCCTTATTAGCACGTGAGGAGAAAAGACTTAGTTTTTCTATCTGAACTTGGAAAGACAGAATGCCCAAGAATCCCTTTATAAAGGATAAATAGGATCATTGTTTAAACAGAATAGATTAAAAAGGCTACGTATGTAATAGGCTACAATATCTACTGAAATATTTCTGACTGTGATATAAAGGAGGATCTATGAAATTCATGTCCAGAGTGGTTGTCATGGATCCGTTTGTATCTGCTGGTGTTTCAAGACGGATCTATACGGAGTTGTAGTTCTTTCGGAGGCACAGAGGAAGAATTATGATATAAGACACACTCCCTTTCTTGTTTTCCTGAACAGGGAAATTTTTTCATGTTTCTGTATTTCTGGAAGATGCATTCTGCTGCTGCTTCTCCATCCACCAGCACAGTCTCTATTTTACATTCCTGTGTAGTCTCCTTAAGATTTTTTGAGGATGGGTTTTGTTCACAAGTTCATAAAGACAGGACAAATGGACTTCATTTTTCTCTTGTTGTTTGAGGAGTACAGAGTTTAAAAGTCACAACGATTGATCGGTTCCAGTCCAAGACTTCAAGGACATAGCTGGACTACTCTCATAACAGCTGCCCAAGACTGGTGCAATGCTCACAGTGTTCTTTATATCCAGCATTATTCATGTATTGAATCAAGCCAGAAATCAAATACATTGATTTTTAACATCACTGCTAGCTGAATGAATTAGTCAAATCTGCAAGCAGCACTAGGTGTGTGTTAGGTGACTGTCATGCACAATTAGTTCATTTACGTAAATCTTTTCAGAAACGTTGATTGTTTTCATGGTTGTCTTCATGTAATTACAAATCGTTAGTAAAGTAGAAGAGAAAAATTGCTTAAAGATTTGAAAATAAGATAAGTACGGATTCACCTTTTTCAGTTAGAAAAAACGCTTATCACTAGATTATATAAAAATACATGAAACATTTTCAGACACATACTTTTGAATTACCTATCTGAGAAAGACAGTATCTCAGGTTAGAAGATAAATAAGAATAACCAGGTACCTTTGCAGATTTTCTTCTGCCAATGACTTATGAGTTGCTTTAAAACCCTAAGTTCAGAAAGTTATCGAGCTTGAGGAGTAGTTACTGTTTCAACATCTTGCACTCAAAAACCCTCCACAACCCGCCCTCGCTCCCCCTGAACCCCAAACTCAACAAGAAAACTCCCAAAACCACTCCAATATTTATAATATAAAGGGATAATTTCCCTGGTAAGGTATTTTCTAGATTGAAAGCTGGAATAACTTGCACTATCACTAATAATATTAATTGTATTGAAACAAAAGCTACTGGAAAAGCAATTATAAATTTAGCAAGCAAGGTGTGCTTAAACCTGGTATTTACTGAAATTCACAATATCTCAAGTTTATCAAATGCCTATTTGATAACAATAGACTAGTTTGAAACATGCAATTGTTTCTTACTACCATGTATGCAAAGTAAGCAATAAGCTATTTCTTGTAAGTCTCTTACTTTAGAAAGATTGTTTCACAGTAAGTAACTTTTCTCCTGTGTTAAACTTTACTGTTTTATGGAAGAGAATATAAAATCTACTTGTTACCTGTAACCTGAACATTTTTGCAAGGTGATGACCAGGATCCCTTTCAGGACTGACTACAGACGTGGTCATTCTGTCAAAAAGTTATTTCTTTGACATCAAATCTGTACTATTTATTCTTCAAGCAGAACTTTTTGAAAACCTCTAGTGCACGCATAGGTCCGATTTCCTGAAGTGGCAGATACGTTTTATTCAGCTCTCCCCATGTATCTCAGATCTGCTCTGCAGTTCTAAACTTAGTGTACTTTTGTGCTGAACATGGACAGTGTCATCCTTTGTAAATGTGAGGCAACAAAATTCCATTGAATTCAGAGAGAAAGCACTTAGAAGAAAATCTCACAAAAAGCATACTTTCAAGAAACACCTTAATTTACAATGAGTCTAAAGACTGTCTCTAACCCAGGCTGTGGAATCCAAACAGAAATCCAGATTGCATTTACAGCTCTGCTTTTAATAGAGCCTTAAATAAATTTGAATTTAACTGCTTAACCATGGTTGTGCAACACAACTGGGCTTTGCTAAGGGAGCACGTGTGCGGATCGTTTAGAGCCACGTGTAGCTGAGCAGGAGGTAGCAGCTTAGGTGTAGCTGGAGTGGGTATGGTTCCAGATACAAAATTGAAGGTAGGGCTGTGGATAGGAAGAAGATCCAGATGGTTGCAAGGTCACGCTTGTTTTCTAGCCTTCTGAACATCCAGTGTGGGCTTGAGAAGAGCCTATTGTGGTGTCTGGCAGGGAACTGGAAGATGGGAGTGAGTGGGAGAGAACACTTTAGTCCCATTGTCTTTTTAAGTAAGTCTGTGCTCATTTATAGACCTCTTCATGAGAAGGACAGCCTAGGACTGTATTATTACTGAATTCACGTGAAAATAAATCTTTTAAGAATGGAGGACAGGCCTTCTTCAGGAACCATGCTTATAACTGTAATAAAGCAAGTATTTAATTTACCTGCTAGTATGTGAAGGTAACAGAAACAACCGTTTATGTATGTTCCTGCTGCATAATATATAGCTGATGCTTTTCCTAAAACACCTGAAGTACCCTGATACCAGGAGAACGGATACTTTAAAATCTACTTACGATCCACAAATGAAGTGAACAGCATTCTGAATCTGCTTAGTCTACTGCCTTCATCTGCCCACATTCGCACCACGCCTGTCCCAGTCTGCAGTGTGACATCGTTTGCTACGGTGCTGCAAAACTTCGCCTTCAGGTTTTCAATAGAACTACTTCCATCATACACAGCAACAAAGTTCCTTTTGCACTCATTTGAATGCTCCATTTGATAGTCGAGAAATCGCAAGTAAATCTGTTAGAAAAGAGAAATTAATGTCTCTAGGAAAAGTAACAGAAGACAGTTTTCTTTCTTAGCAAATCTTCCATGAGATGTTTCGCCCCCTTACACATACATGTAATTCAATTCACAACACTTTCAAACTTACATTTTCTCATTAAATGTCAATGTAGTGTATTACTTGAAATTTGTCTGAAGTATCTGTTTCACTCCTCCCCCCTCCTCAAAATAATCTTTGCTTACTAATTTACTCTGATATATTTCCGCTCCCCTCTAGTAAAAAAGGAAAAAGCATCACACTTGCTGAAGAAAGCCCTAAGCAGCTCTGCTAAATGTGCAGTCTATTACTCTAGAAGAGGTACAAGAAACACATAAATACACTTAAAGAATTTTAACAGTATTTTGACTGTTTTTTTTTTTCTTTT